CTGATTTCCTTCGGGCTTGAACGTACTACAATCAGCTACCGATACCATGGGTGAATACCAGATAGCCGTTCCTAGACCCTGTTCATGCTTCGATATGCTCATTCGCATTTCCAACTTCGGCAGTCTACAAAATTATATTTGTTAGCAAGGCAGTTAAATGATACAAGTCTCAGCAGGTATTGAAACCGAGCTAAATTCCATCTCGGCTATCAGGCAACCATATAATATTGACGTTTATATTGGGAAGAAATAAAATTGGTGAGTAAAGATGCCTGTAGTTTGTACGAAGCCTTCCCCTACGCAGCCCCTTTGCGATAGACACACCCTGTAAATCAATGAGTGGATGAATTATGAAAAGTATTTGTACTCAGGAATACCCTGTAGCTGTACGAGTTCATGCAAGCCACCAGAAGCCTGTCATTTTTGAGGAGGATACTATGCCGATCAATACCATTCAGAAACGTCTAGGACGCTAAGCTGTGAAATTTGAAAAACAGTAAACTTGCCCCACTAAAGCAAAGTTTCGTGCTGAATGGCCAGTTGATATGGATCTAACTAATGACTCGGAGATTCTAAGGAACACCAAAGTACTAAAATGCCTCAGGAAATGCAGTTCAAATAAAATACACTTAGCTCTTTTTATAAATCAGACGAAGACTTCAGCTTTGAAACTAATTACATTGTTTGAAAGGGTATAGCAGAATGAAAACCTTTTATTACTTTGAAATGAGGTCGTTGTAACACGCATTTTAAAAACGACCCAAGTAATATGTGTTAAAGTCATCTAGGCGGTCATATATTACCAATAGCATTCAGAGTATTGGTTTCTTTCGCATTTCCCGGACTATTCAAAATAAATGAGGTGATTCGCAAACAGCAAGTTAGGTTTCGATTAGGTAGTGGGTGCATTATTAGAAAGATGCTAAGACATTTTTATGTGTGCATTAGTTTTTACATTCCTTTACACTCTGGTTACCTGGGATTCGTTGAACAGGACTGTACTCTGAAATCCTGTTTAATAAATAGGTATTTATGAGAGGTTAGTGGACATTTTTTTTAAGACATCACAGGAAGGGTGAATATAAAAGACTACTCGTCTCCATTATTCCAATCCAGAAGTGGGGTAAGAGAGTTGTCGCATTTCTCTACCACTTCATCATCCACGACATTCTTCAGGTACCTGCGAAGTGACGGTAATGAACCTCCACTGCCAAGAGGAACACTGCTTGACTTCCAGTGTGCCAACGATAACATCTTCCAGAGTGATCAAGATACACAAACCCCATTCAATCAGTATATTATTTGTTTTGGACTACACAAAGGAAACTGTTTTCGGAAGTGTGGTAAGTGTCGGTAACTGCACACCCGTTTAGCTACGAAAATTTGCGAACGCCTGAGAATTCTTATATCTAGGTGTAAGTCTTCGCTGATAATGAGGAAAATGAGATTTCTTACTGTTTATCAAGAATAAAAGCGGTAAGAGTCAGCATGGGTTGTCTTTGGCACTAGGAAGACTTTAGCAACGGATGACTCAGTTTTATCAGTTTGGTATTTCATCTCCCGGTGTAATTACTAGTGGGATTTAGTCGTTGACTTAATTCGTATTGAAAGTCTATAGCAGTTTGCCCACAGGCACCGCTGATGAAAAAAGACCATCCATCATGGGTTGAACTTGTAGTTAATTCTAGCATTTGACTAAAATATGTTTGCCCACAGTAACCGCATACATTACTGACTCACAGACAGACAAAACCAACATGGAACCTCCCACACAAATACATCGGTTCAAGTCACCGCACTTCATAGTAGTATACACAGAACAAATTGGCAGCAAAGGCTGATACAAAAATAAAAAAGGTGTATGGGTGGAGAGGAAATTTAAAAAATTAAGGTTGATCAAAACACTCAAGCTTTAGGAGAAATCAAAGAATGAATACATCTGCGTTATGACCTATTTTTAACAATTTCACCAAGATTCCTATTGTCTAGAGGACCCCAACCTGGTGGTCTACACCTCCAGACACGGCTGCGATCACGAATAAGAGACTTCGTAAACTGGTGCCACGTCTTAGTCTGGCCACGCTGAATCCTCTTCCAAACTAATCCAACTTCGGTTAGCATCACAAAAAGAGGAAGTCGGTGACTTTTCATGCGTAACATATGTACAAAGCTCTCTCAGTCGATGAAGGTTTATAACCTTAACGACTGACTTCGCCCCCCACCCTCCCCCCATGCCTTGTACCCACCACCTAATATTGATATTACTCACACAGCGAGCAATACTACGAAAATATCTAGAGTGAAAAACCTGTAGTCCTTTCACCACATCTACTTTCAACAGCGATGTCCCACAGGACAGAAAGAACTGAAGTAGGGTATACTCGTCCTTTAATAGATAATTGGATATCTCACCAGTCAGAGCCAGGGATGATGCAGGTTGACAAGTACAAAACGGGACTTATGTATTCAAGCTAGGATTTTGTACTGTTTCATGGAATCCGGTGATTACCAGGATCACCTCTACACGATTCACTAACATCATGAATCGATCGTTTGATTAAAGATATAGTTGAGTTCAATGTAAGACAAGGGAAAAAAACAAAGGAACTTTTGGAAAAGAATATGACCGACAGTAAGTATAATGAACCTGTACCATCTGGATCTTGACTGCGTTGCTTACATGACTTATCAAAGGTACATAAACCCAATGCCCTCCAGAGACTATTGCTATCCATAATCAGTTCACTGTTACACAAACTGACCCTATGATTAACAAAACAGTCACAACCTGTTCGTGTCAGGTTAACTGTCCAGTCTGTCACTATATCCAATTGCTGGAAAGTATGATAATTTTGAATAGATACAAGATTCCATTCGACGCGCCATCTTTGTTTACGAATACCCTACAGGAAGAAGACAAATAAATTACATAGCAACATTCTATTCCTTTTCTTCATTTATCAATGGATGAGTAGAAACAGCTTTTTCTAATTTCTGATAGTAGTATACAATTTGAGCCGGTCAACGTTTAACACGAGCAATTTGACGGAGTGGTTATGAGTAGACGACTGAACCCCATTTTAATTTGGGGGTTTGTGGGGAATTGGTGATTTTTTAAGTAGGTATCCATCACGAACTGACATCAGTTGGAGGAACATTGGGCAGCTGGTTCGTCCTATTATGAGACTCCTTAACAGTGTGCACCAACAACCTCGCCAGGGACCGGACTCAAGACCTTTGGGTTCCGTTGCCAGCACGTTACCACCGAGTCGCAATTCAATGGTCCATACCTCCAACTTATGTCAGTTTACGACATGGAGCGACCATTACCTAATGTCAACGTTGAGTATCTCTATCCTCACGTCCACCAGGTTTGCCCCACCGGTCACGCTTTATCATTGGAACTTCAGGAATCACCTCTTGAAGGTGGTCATCAATTAGCACTAGGTTAATTCAGCCTTCGAGGGTTGCGGGGTCCTGGGTGCACACTGCTGAGGAGTCCCATACTAGGACGAAACAGCTCTCCAGTGCTCCTAGGTTTCTAATGTTCCTCCAACAGACGTCAGTCTATGATGAATACCTACTTGAAGAATTCCATTTTGCCCGATATTTTAACAGATAATCTAGAACAGAGGAAGAAGCTGACGAAAAATGAAACGGAATTTCTATTCAATCATCTTCATCATGTCTCTCTCTTGCACTGAATTTCCCTAATAGAGCACAAATTAAAATAAGATTTACGATGGAAGAAAACATAGAGAATAAGTCTCATTTCTTCATCATCCTCTGTCAGACTGAGTATTGAAACAAACCATTTTTGAAGCAAACACCGGGACTCAGAAGGTAAGAAAAAGAACTCGAATCCTTCCAAATTGTCACTCAGTGTTCAGAAGATTCTGCATCTTGATAGTGCCCTCGCTGAAATCGATTATGTGCTACGCGTATTCTAGGTTCATTCAAGCATCTTTTGCGATAAGATGAATCAATGTTAAGTAAGACGAGGTGACAGGCATCTCCATGAGGGCGTTTACGAGAAAGTAAACAAAAACGAGGTGAACATCCCTGACAGACCACTCAACTAACCTGACAGGCTACTTTAGGCCACGGATTTTGAAAATCGAGTCCTCGGTAGACTGATATACTTATCAAGAAACCTACTTAAAGAGAAACACCTCAAGCGACAGAGTCAGATGCTAATATCATGTCAAAAAATTCAGCTAACATAGGATGCCAGTAGGACACACCCAGGTCTGGAACCTGCCCACCTTCCTTGGGCTTCAGTTAATTGCCAGTAGGTATTAGAACTTAGAATTCTGGACACAATATTTATCATGCTGATCCCATTTGCCATTATCACAACCAAAAAATTTCCTCCATTAATGAAGACTTCGGCTGTTTGGTAACGAAAGGTAAAAAGTATAACTATAGATTGATTTCGTCAATGTAGGAGTAAAACTTGGGTTGTCCATTCTGAACTCCACCATTACTTCATAAACTAATCAAATGATAGCCTGTTTCACGACTGTTTGCACTTAATAGCTTTAGATTAAGACAGATCACCAACTTATTGTATAAAAACAAGTCTGTGATTCACATATAAGTGACTTCTTGTCAGTTCCCTAACAAGCAAATGTGATCGTAGATATTGAAAAGGGAAATAGTATGCACACGCATCCATTCAGCTATAGACATCAGAATTCAACTTTGAATAAAATAACATTGACCCGGCTAGATAGCACTGCTGAAAAGCGTAAGTGTTCTAAGCCTATATGTGAATTACTTGAATTATAACCCTCTTCAACGCAAATGAAAAGTAACGCCAGGCGACAAAAACCACCACAAGTTCTACGTCGGATTCTGCAAAATCCCGTATGCATGAACCAATGTAAAACTATGCTACAGCCGTTAACGGTTTGAACAGAAACACATACCCCAATTAAGTAATGGACAACGTAGTACTCGATACATCTTTCCAAAATCAACCAAAGTGAAAACGGCTGTAAGCAAACTATCTTGAGTTTATTGTAACGATCTTGAACAGTCTGAATGGTTAGCCACATCACATGATAAAAATAATACAATGCACAAATATTTATTAAAATTACATGAAAGCAGATCAGAAAGTCTTATTTTTTGGCTGACAGCATCTCTTTGATTTTATTCACAAGATCTGCATATGAAACTTCATATTCTTCCCGACTTTGAATATCTCTTAACTTGACAGTACCACGGGCCAGTTCACTGTCACCTAAAACCACAGCCAATGGAATACCCGTTGACTCACAATACTGTAATTGATCTAAAAGTCTTGGATGATTCCTATGCGACATTGTAGCCTTTTGTTGAAAAAAGACAACAAAGTGAAGAAAATTAGTTAAATATAAGACACAACAGTACCAATTTACAATGAAGAGTAACTCACAAAGTGGAAGCATGATATGATCATGAACAAACTAGATGTGGTATAAAATCCAAATGCTTAGTCTCCTTATTAGAAATGTCACACAGTGAAACAGTATCATTCACTGGATAACGATTCGAACACAATTTATTGCCTATATTCATATCAGGTAACTCTATAACTTTGAGACACAGTTTACATATTCCTAATTTTCTCTCCTTCTTTGTGATGACAAGGGTAGTAGTATTCTCCATATATCTGGGACAGGTGCAGAATCATTCCTATCTATTCGGTGTTTATTCGATAAACAAATATTCACTTATCAATCTCTCCCTCCACCAACTAAGTTAGTTTTCAATACTGTCGCTCTATCCCACCCTACTGTGTGATTGTGTGTAATTGCGTGCAGAGCTATAGTCGAGCTTTTCTCTATCTTACTAGAATCTAGTAATCTTGATTTACTCGAGCTTTTGTGCTCTGTTATTCTAATCGACCCAGGTCGACTACTTTAACCCCGTAATCATTGCAAGAGACTTGGTAAACCAAATTATTTCGCTCATTTGCATCAATAGGATCTTTCAACGTAAAAAGCTTGTTTCTAATCGAGTTTGTTGGTTTAAATGACACTCTAATCCCAGACTTATTGAGAATCCTTCGTAATGCTTCTCACGTGCCTTCCTTGTATAGTAACACACCAGAGGCCTTGAATTCTTGTTCAACCCTGTCACCACCATTACTATCAGTAGTAGAACCATTATTAATAGCACCTGTATTACTACTACTACCACTACTACTGCTAATATTTTTCTTTCCATTTATTATCAATTTATTCATAAGTTTAGGTGGATAATTATTATTGAAAAGCTAGGTATTCTCGATGTGCCTAACTTCTTGTCGTAGATTTTCTGACCTACTAGTAAGCTTTTCGCCCTATCGCTTAATCATTTAACTAAGCCTATTTTAACTGAAATGGGCTGAGATGGTTTGAAGTATGAGTAGCAATTCAAATGGGAAGGTTTACTATAGACACTAGTCTCTAAGCTCCCGTCTTGTTTTCGGTTACTCTTGCAATCGAAAATTGCTAGCTCACCTTCATCACTTTCTAAGTCGCAGGTAAATTGCATCGCATTCACTACTGAATTTATATGTCCCAGTAACCTACTGATGTCTTCCGATTTCAGTACTGTAAATGTATCATCTGCATATGGGAACCATATCTTTGGAGTAGGACTGCATGTTTGAAGGGCCATCTGTTCCCAGCTATCCAGGAATACGTAGGTCAGAGTAGTCGACCTGGGTCGATTAGAATAACAGAGCACAAAAGCTCGAGTAAATCAAGATTACTAGATTCTAGTAAGATAGAGAAAAGCTCGACTATAGCTCTGCACGCAATTACACACAATCACACAGTAGGGTGGGATAGAGCGACAGTATTGAAAACTAACTTAGTTGGTGGAGGGAGAGATTGATAAGTGAATATTTGTTTATCGAATAAACACCGAATAGATAGGAATGATTCTGCACCTGTCCCAGATATATGGAGAATACTACTACCCTTGTCATCACAAAGAAGGAGAGAAAATTAGGAATATGTAAACTGTGTCTCAAAGTTATAGAGTTACCTGATATGAATATAGGCAATAAATTGTGTTCGAATCGTTATCCAGTGAATGATACTGTTTCACTGTGTGACATTTCTAATAAGGAGACTGAAATGGGATAACAATCTACCACAGTGCCCATGTTTCATTCCTATATTAATCTACATGCTTACATAAAAATAAATTGGGCAAAATACACTATGAGTACTGACGAACTCTAAACGCCGATAACTGTTTCGAATGGATGGGTGCGTAATTTTGCACACAATAGATGTATAACTAAACAAATTAAAGAAAGACGTTTTCACAATTAAAACGATGGTTCTTCAAGAGGCATAAGTAGTTGTAGCTAGTAAACAGCTGGTGACATACTATCTGTTCGCTTTCACGTTTATTGTTATCAGGAATTCCGCTAAAAATTTACAGTACAACAAAAACTAGTAAGTTTTCCTACTGATGCAGACAAGTATGTATACTAGTGAATGTAACACTAGTATTGTTACTTCCTCAAGATCTGAAACATGACCTACAATTATTTACCATCACACATATATATGAAACTGATTTTTAAGTTTGATAGTTCGATTACAGTCTGATCGCTGACTGATAGATACACAGAATAATTAGTCCCTCAAGGAGGAAGTTTCAACCAATGGATGACGAGTTCAGATGCCGCTCTGTTCATCAAAGTTTGAACTGCAGGCGATTATTATAAACTATCATACAATATTTGTCGTTCATAGATCAGAATGTAGGCAAGTAAGTATTAGTGAGTTGCATTTGTTTCTTCTATCATATTCTTATACAACATATACTTAATGGATAGTTTTTACACTCTACTTTCATTATTTTACTTTATTGATGATAGAACTTTCCATATATCCGGGATCGGTGTTGAAACACTTGATTATATAAACAAAACCTCAGTTGTCAATATCTTTCCATCAACTTTCAGGACAACTATCCTATCCCTTTTAAATGATATGACTGTGTGACAGACAGCATAAGTAATCATGATAACTTTGTAGATTACTCATCTTACTATAATCTAACAACAAATTCCAAAACTCTTCGATTAGTGAGTTTGTGGTGGACTGGCTAACTTCAAAGCAGCTTTCAGTAGAGACCGACATCGGTTAGTGAACTGCAGATTACTAGGCAGTTGATTCATCTTATTTCGAGACTCCTCGGCAGAGTACACTCATGATCACGTAGGAAATTGAAACTATGACTATTCAATCTTACCATCCAACCAGTGTTGGAACCCGACGGTTAACGTCTTACAACTTCTCCCAAATCCTGATATATCGTGGCTAACATACAATGTCATCAATCAGGAACTATCTCTAAACCTGACTTTATTGACCTTACAGGTCACGGCTTCTCCCATTCTAACTCATCTCGACCAGATATCTTGACCTATGACATTTGAAGCTACAGTTGTTTTATGACAGATTCTACGATAGAAATCAGTGGTTGAGAGCTCTTAGTGACATAGCTGAAAATCAGTCACAGTAGCGCAGATGTATTCACTTTTTAACCTCTTCTGAAACCATAGAATTTAGAGTGATAGAATGATAGAAACTGGACTAAGAAGTTATGTGACTATGTTGAAATGATTATGAGCAATGAATCGCGCTTGAAACACCATCTAGTAAAATAGCTATTTTACTACATGATTTGTCTAACAAACGAACTAAAATCGGCTGTGTTACTTCCTCTGAGCTAGGTGATTTATTCGTACAGCTTTTATTGTCTTTCTAGACATCCTCAGCACCAACTTCAATATAAAATTAATGCTGGGGATGCTGTCGATAGTTGCATCATAAATGACAGAAACGCAGTTCTCAAATGAAGATCTACCGAGATAAACACCTTGAAAATAGACGTATTTTTTGCAGTACTATTAGCAAGGATAGAAGTAAGTATTTTCACAAATATACAGATCATATTTAGGAAATAAATAAGCGACTGATTTCCATTTTGTCCACAACGAAAAATGTTTTTTTAAAAACCGACTTTGAGCATTTGTAACTACATTGTTTAATGTCCTATAAAAGTTAAGAAATCGAAATGGTTCCGTTGAGGCGTTTAGGATAAAGTTAGTCGTCTAGATAAACCGGAGAAACCCTTCCTGTTCCATTTCTTTCCTTAGCTAAATACCGAATGGGCTTGTTGTCGAGTTAAATTATTCTCAGAGTGAATATTATTAATAGCTAAAATTGCTTGAGTTCTCATGTACAAACAGAAGTTTATTATTCCTTTGAGATGCGAACTAATTGAATAAGGCGTAATACATATTTCTCCAAATGGATCCGACACTACCAAAATATAATTTAAAAATGTAGTATTAACCTTTATTTTTGCATCCCACAAAAGCCGACAACATTGTAAACGTTGCAGAATAAGACCTTTATGAGCCCCAGCAACCATGACGTCCGTCTCCGTTGACCGCACAGTAGACTTGTTCTTGCTTGTAGTAGACAGAGCTTCTTTAATCGCCAACAAACGCTCAACTCCAAAGCTAAAACCAACACATGGTACTCGTGCACCTGATGAATCGAACATTCCAACCAAACCATCATATCTGCCTCCACCAGCAACACTACCGACAGCCATAGGTTCATCTGAAGCAGTAGATTCTTCTTCCAACTTTTCCTTCTTTTTATCCTTTCTACTTGACTTCTTGCCCCTCGAAGAAGAGTTCGTTTCAGTCTCATTAGGACCAGTCAATTGTGCATTAAGACCGTCCGGACTGTAAGTGAAACCTGTTGTGCAAAAAAAAATAGGTACTTTATTACTTTTACATTCTAAACGTAATGAACAAGCATAAGAATAGACCTAAAATTATTTTGCCACACAAACTATTAATAGTCATCGTATGCAAGCATTTTCCACATTAATATGTAACAGTTTAAAGACGCAGAAGCATTAACACTATGTGTAATCATACGTAATGGTAAAGATACTGAAATAATGAGTGAAAGAAGGCCTATGGTTGCCTATTCATCTAATAAGGATAATTTGTCTTCTAAATAAAAGTCAAGAAGGAGATATTTTTCATGCGTCTATCACTAGCCTATTTAGAAGTATAAACAGTTAGGATTAAAATTAGGATGGGAGTGTGATACTGTGATGAGTATGTTGACACTATAACATTAGTTGGTGTGAGTTGCATTGAACAGACCAATCTCATATGGAATTATTATCCATCACACTGCCAAAATTCTATACTAACATAAGTAAAACTTATGGTTTCCCTGTTCAAAGAGCATTTAACAAATTCACATGACTTTTAGAAACATCTGATACAATCGCGCGACTGCTCTATCAAATCTTTGACACAATTTTTGAAGCAGATCAAAGATATTCATATTGACTACGACGAACCGATGGTGTATTTCGACGTTACAATCCTATACACCTCAATTAGACCGAAGCTGGCTAAGGATATAATGCTACACACCTCTCAGAAAACACACAACTACAATGATGAAGTTTGATAGAATTAATTGATTTATGCCTTACAACATATTTCTAATTCAACGGCAAACTATAAAAACAGACAAGCAGAACACTAATATGACCATCTATAATCAAGGGCCAGTTGAAGAAGCAGTAATCCAAAGATCGGCAACTGTGGTATTGTCGTTGAGCAAACCAAAACTTTGGGTTCGGTATCCAAATGATACGTTTGTCACCATTGAAAGAAACAAATTTGAAAACGCTAACAAAATAATCAACATTTTCGACGACATAAAATTCAAAACTGATGAGGAATCAAACAAAAAGCTTGCACTTTTAGATATTTTGGTGACCAGAACGAATTCAGGAAAGTTGGAAACTAAAGTATACAGAAAACCATCTGTGGGGTTTTAATTCCCAACTACAGTAGCAGCAACCTAACGGCACACAAAATCATTTCTACAAAAACTGTTCAAAAGTGCAAAGACACACTTTAGTACATCAACCTTGTGGAGAAAAGAAGAAAACCATTTAATAACTTTTCCAGAAGAACGGTTATTTACACAATTTTATCAAAAGATGTTTGTCAAATTCGCTGTCAACCAAAAAGTCATCCTAGAAAGCTAAAAACGGATTGTCTTACCCTACTTGGACGGTGAAGCATCATGATGTCTTTGCTCATTTCAATGCAGACAGATAGTGAACATGAATTCACATCAGCAGAAAAATCAATTGAAGTAAGCATAAAGACAATGAAATGATTTTAGCAGAAACAACTAATCAGTACAAGCTACCAAAGAGTTTGTGTAGGAAACCGCATAGATCACTTCCTTCTGAAGTTGGTACTGATGATGTTGTCTAGAAGGAAAATGAAAGGTCCACAACTAAACCATCCAGCTCAGAGAACACAACATCAAAAATAAATAAGAGTTGACAGAAAACCATTGCATATCTAGACTTTAGGTCATTTCACTCTGCATCGGTAAAGGTAAGTTCAGTTAAAACAAGCTGAGAGTCTGTTCATCATCAAGTTAAAACACCTAAATAAAGAATTGAAAGAAGTAACAAAAACTTCACTCTCCGAAATTCCTTCAGAAATACATAAGGAAGCATAAGGAAAGGTAAAGTAGTGATGTAAACAATTATTGCCATACGATTAAGAAACAATTCACGTTCTCTACAGTATAGGGAAAGGAAATCAGAGAGCCTAAGTAGGATTCTTAATAAGGTTAGAATCGGGGGGGGGGGACTCAGGGACAGACTTCATCAGATTAAGGATTCTAGTAGCCCAATCGAACAAAACAATTTAAAAAATACTTTGCAATGACTATGAAGTCAAGTATATAGGTCAAACTAGCCGATAGAAACCCATCAGATTAGCAGAACACAGAAACCTAACAAAGTCTATAGTGATAGATCTTACTAACATGAGTAATTTAGAGAATTCAGTAATGCTCATATATGCGATAACAAAAAACCATACAATAATAGGGGTGGGATAGTAGCAGTCCAAAAGACTGGCGTAGTTAGGTGAAGCTTTGTTAGTCGATTCAACACCTAACATGCTTAATAGGAATGATTCACAACACCGATTCTACATATGTGGAAAATCCCACTACCAATCAAATCAGAGAATGAAAGGGAATAGAATTATAAAAAGAACTAAGTCAAGAGGTTGTGTGATTACCTTGATTCGATTATGAACAGTAATTTATGCTCTAAACATTATCTAGTAGATAATACGATGTGGTATGCCACATAGACTACCTTAATATGAAGTCACACTCTAACAGAGTGGCCAAATTCCTTACTTGTGCTAATGAAATCATTCAAACAACTCTATATAAAGTTTTTTCCGACCAATTTACATTTATTCATACGGATATGATCGACATTTAAATTGCAACAAATAGTAGTTTATTGATACTTTTTTTTACAATAAATAAACTTCTTATGCTCATTTTACTCCCATTATTATTATGAGTTGATTTAGATAAAGCTATGAATGTTTCTGGTTTAATTAACTCAGCTAATGCAAACCTAAATTGATAAATGAATGAATGCAACTTACAACTAGCCTCAACCGTATAAGCTAATCTGATAAACACAGAGGGGTTTAAACTAGTGATTCAATAACCAAAAGTTGAGTGTCCATCTCACTGAGGTGAACACCATCCTGCAACTAACTTACTACCATACTCTAAAAGAGACACATGAGATAACTTGCTTATACACTAACCGCAGGGTAGGGATGAAGTGCATCTACATGTTGTGATCTTTCATTGATGAATAAGCTACCATCTGGACGAGAGTAATAATAGTATGGATTAAGGTTAGTCTTGAAATATGGTTACTGAAGGAGGAATATCTACAGTTGCTAGAGCTTAACTACCTCGCAAGCATAGATTACACACGGTGTAATCCAAAAGATAAGGGAAATATATCTTCTAGAGATAACCCGTTCTGACTGGTTTACATAGGAGATATCAAAGTTAATCGCAGTGTGAGAAAACAGTAAAGAGTGATGATAAAAGATGCATGAAATGTTTTTGATATGACAAATTTCCCTAACGATAAACAAACCAAAAAATTATGGTACTACGGATTAAACAAAATACGAGTAAAAACACGAAGCGGTACACCTATTTTTGGAAAATATGATAGATAACACTAGGGGGAGTTAAGAATTAATCAGTTAAGATCCGATAGAACAACTGAAAATCATCAAAATCAATATAGGACCAGGCATTGCTGCATAACGGTGTAAGCCGCCAAACTTCATACCAGCACATCAAGTAACAAGCTAATAAAACTGATGAAAAAAAATACCGGTCAAAAGAAGTAGAAAAAAGGAAAGAATGAGATGAGACTAAGTGTAACGGTTAAGATGGGGATAATGTATGTATACATCTGCGCCACTGACATCGGTTCCGAGCAATATCACCTAAAGTCTCCAACAATCGGTCTCCCTTGTCCCATGGACCCCAAACGGTTAGTCTGCATTGTTCTACATGGCTCAAACCAAAGGTTAAGGACCTCATACATTGATGTCATGTTTTAGTCTGGTCACTCCAAGCCTTTTTCTCAGCCTGAACCTGCTTCTGCTAATATTGTGTGACGAGGCAGTGATCAGTAAGGGTTACAGTTACAAAAACATTGATACAGAATTAAGCATTCATCGAATCCGACAACCTGACTATAAAAAATACATGCCAATTACATAGAAATAGACAGTTTTTCGTCTGATCTGAATTAACACCATTAAATACGCACACACCAGACATCACTGACCCTAAACTCCGTACAATATAATGAATAAGTCTCTATAGTATCTAGCGAAAACTGGTAACCTTCATAAGTTTATTACTATTCTGACCTTTTCCATATCTACTAACAGAAAAAATGTCAAAATAATTGGATCAAATAGTCTCTGAACATACTCAAGACGGAACAGAACTAGATTTATCAGATAACTGCTCTGCATATAAAGTACTCGGAATGCATACGTCATTCAGCGGAAGCTTTCACACTGAAAAATGAATCAACTTTTTAGCAATACCTTTTGAATGCTTATTAAGAATGATCAGCTTTTTGATTTCGGGTATTACTTTGAATAGGATTACTGCCCGCGGTTACAAATATAGCTAGTTTTTGATAAATATTAAGGTTGTATAATAAGTATTGATACAGACTAAGATGAGTAGCTGAATCCAACCGATTTCACATATTCATGAAGGAAATTGCTATATAAGAGGTAAAGAATGCATTGGTCCTAGGTAGTCTTCGACAACTATCTACACTGCTCATCAAAGAAACTGGTACGGAAAAGAGGACAGTAAAAATATCGCTAGGGCGGAAGGGTCCCTGATTACTTTTCAGAAGTAGTTGGAACGCTCGGTAAGGATACTGAAAAATGGTTTGACTAGCCTACAGTCACGCGTCAGTTGTCTAACATTCAGTTTTAAACTGTATAGAGTGAATATACTCTATCACGCAAGCCGAAAAGATCGTATTCAGCGTGACACGATGCAGAACATCAGAGACTGAGGGTTTGCTACTAGAAACCTTTGAAGATAGAGTTGGAGAACTACGGACTAAGGTAAATGAAGGTTCAGTTAGTGTAAGAGAATCAGAGACAGTTCTATTCAATAGGCTAATTATCACTGATCGTTGCGATTTCCAAGAAAAGAGAAAATTCTTTTTGTATTTCCTAAAAAGGTTGTTACCTTTTAGACGTTTGTTATTCCGAACAAGATACTTCGTTGTTCAGTTCTCAAACTAATAAATTCATACTATTCCACCTGTCTGCAGTACACATACAAAAATTAAAAAAACAATTCCATATTCACGCAGTTTACACGTGCATATCGCATCAATTTCTTAATCAACAAATAATCACTATAAATGACTACGATACGCATAATCGGTGACACTGTCACACTTAATGGAGTGAGTGTCAACTATCGTAGGCGCATTTCAATTTGTTCATAGTTTTACGTACTTGGCAGATACAATCAAAAGAGTGTATAGTGATTATCACAATCATAATCCACAGTTTTGAAGCCAACAAAGGTATGCATGCATCTTTGGTAACCTCAAGCTATGATAATCACCGTAACTCAGTAGTCACAAGCACGTTCATGCACTATTGTATCACAGCTAATGATACACCACAGCAACTCAAAAAATCTCAATAGCTAAAAGGGGCATTTGAACTCCCTTACTGGAAGTCAAGTGGTCAGGCCAGTGAGCCTTAGTCATAATGATGGTTCAAGAAAACCTGCATTGGAATAAAAACGTCGTATGTTAGAGTTAACCTCGCCTGGTTAACTAGTTTACTAGTTACTAGCCGGTCCTAAGCCCCGGTAAAGAGGGAAGGTTGGGCATAGGGCTAGCAACCCTACCCCGTAAAACAAATCTAACCGCTAAAGAAACTTCAAAGCACAAACAAAATATAAAAAATGAAAACAAACTTATTCCCCGCTGGAATCGGAGAGGCGAAATGACGCCAGTTGGTGAAAGCCTTCGGGAAGCCAATTGGCCGATGTGTCTTCTCTCGATGAAAGCGAAAGTAAACGTGGGGACATGGAATGTCCGTACGATGTAAGGCAGCCCAGATTGCAAAGGAGATGAGAAGGTATCACATTGAAGTGCTTGGGATTTGCGAAAGCAGATGGAATGGGAGTGGACTCTCCAAACTGTCAACTGGAGAATCAATAATCTACTCCGGTCACCCAGACGCCAACCACGAGCACACTGAGGGAGTGGCTATCATGATGTCCACAAGAGCATCGAAGGCTCTCATGCAGTGGGAACCAATCTCCTCCAGGATCATGACAGCAAGATTCAACTCAAAAGGAAGAAAGGTCACAATCATACAATGTTATGCACCTACAAATAATGCAGAGCAAGAGATAAAGGAGGATTTCTACAGACAACTTCAATCAACACTGGACAAGACCACAACCCAGTTGGCGATATCAAAATTCTAATGGGTGGGGCGACATGAATGCCAAACTGGGAGGGGACAACACAGGAAGAGAACTAACCATGGGTCGAGAGGCGCTAGGTGAAATGAATGAGAATGGAGAATTGTTTGCAGAATTCTGTGCATTCAACGATTTGGTGATTGGAGTGAGGCAGTGTGTTCAGGCACAAAGATATCCACAAAGCGACATGGATTTCACCAGACACCAGACACACTAAAAATCAAATCGACTTTATCTCAATCTCGAGAAAATGGAGACGCAGTCTACTTAACACAAGGTCAAGAAGAGGAGCAGATGTAGGTTCACACCACTCACCATCTAGTGCAAGGAACCTTCCAAATCAAGTTAAAAGCCTTCAAGGAAGCTGGTGATAGACCTCAATTCAAGTACAACACTCGGAAACTGAAGGATGAAACTACAAAGGAGATCTTCAAGGCAGCCATCAAGACAAAATGGGAGATATCGACGAACATCCCTGAAGAAACCTGTGTGGAAGAACACTGGAAGTCTTTGAGAGAGATGTGGAAAGAAACCTGCACAACAGTATTAGGAAGGAAGAAGAAAGAAGACAAGGAATGGATCTCGACGGATACCTGGAAGCTGATAGAGGAGAGGAGGATGGTGAAGCAGAAGATAAACCAGTGAAAGCATGCTCAACGACAAGAGGAACTGAGCACAATGTATAAAACACTGAACAAAGAAGTAAAGAAGAGTGCACGCAAAGACAAAAGACACTTCTACGAAACACTGGCAAGTGAAGCAGAACAGGCTGCCGGCTGATAAGAGAGACCTGACGACATTGTATCAAATAACCAGGTTGCTTTCAGGGAAGAGACCAACACAGATGAAACCAATAAAAGATGAAGAAGGAAATTTAATTACCGAAGAAGAGAAACAAAGGAAACAATGAGCCGACCACTTCAAGAAGCTCTTGAATCGACCACCACCACCACCTGCACTTCGTCCAGAAATACCACCTACAGCCGCTGAATTACAAGTGAACATAAATCCCCCAACGAAAATGGAAGTCCTGAACGCCATAAAGCTACTGAAATGCGGGAAAGCAGCAGGACTAGATGGAATACCGCCAGAAGCACTGAGAACAGATGCAGAGACAACAGCGGACATGCTCACACCACTATTGCAGAAGGTGTGGAAGGAAGAGAAGGTACCTGCCACTGGATTGGAAGAAGGGTTACCTTGTCAAACTGCCGAAGAAAGGAGACCTCAGTGTTTGCAAGAACTGGTGCGGAATCACTCTCCTGTCCACCCCAAGTAAAATATTAAGCCGCATCATCCTGGAGAGGCTCAAAGATGCACTGGATTCAAAACTGCGACCGGAACAGGCAGGCTGGCTTCAGGAAGTACAAATCATGTGCAGACCAAATTGCAACGCTTCGTATCATCATAGAACAGAGCATAGAATGGCAATCAGCTCTCTACCTCAACTTCATCGACTTTGAGAAGGCCTTTGACAGCGTCGACTGAGAAGTAATTTGGAAACTGCTTCAATACTACGGAGTACCGCAAACCTTTATCCGCCTCATTCAACAACTATATGAAGATGCCACACGCCAGCCAAGTAATTCACAAGGGGAAGCTCAGTGATACTTTTGAAGTGAAGACAGGAGTGAAACAAGGTTGCCTACTATCCCCCATGATATTCCTGATTGTGGTGGACTGGATCATGCAGCAAACAGTAGGCAGCGAGAAGAGGGGGATACGCTGGTTGGACTGCGGAAAAGAACCTAGAAGACTTGGATTTCGCCGATGACTTATGCCTAATGTCACATAAACTTGAAGATCTGCAGGCAAAAACTAACAAGTTGATAGAAGAGGCAGCTAAGACGGGACTTCAGGTGAATATAGAGAAGACAGAAGTGATGAAGATACCGCACCACCACCATCAACAACAACAACAACAAACTCCAATCACCATCAACGGGAGAAACTTGAAGGAAGTAACCTCCTTCACTTATCTAGGAAGCACTGTTTCAACTACGGGCGGGACGGACGAGGACGTCAAAGTCAGAATCGGAAAAGCAAGACAGGCGTTCATTAGCCTGAAACCAGTGTGGAGATCTTCTGCACTCAGCATGTGGAACAAGATACGGATTTTCAACACCAACGTCAAGTCAGTGCTCTTGTATGGCTCAGAGACTTGGCGCGTCACGAAAGGTATTCCCAATAAACTACAGACATTCATCAACAACTGCTTACGCTCGCTGCTGAAGATCAGATGGCCAGAAAGAATAAGCAACAAGGAACTCTGGGAACGAACCAACCAAGAACCTATCACCCAACAAATATGCAGGAAGAAGTGGAGATGGATTGGCCATGCACTGAGAAGGCCGACTGAGGACATCACGCGTCAGGCCAGTTACTCGAGTGGAATCCCCATGGGAAGCGACGAGTTGGACGTCCAAGGGTGACATGGAGGAGGTCGTGCGAGGAGGAAATGAGAGCTTCTGGGCTGTCGTGGGACCAGGTCCAAAAGATCTCAGAGAACACAGGTCACTGGAGGCGTGCTACTGAAGCCCTATGTTCCACTAGGAACCCAAGGGACTAATAATAATAATAATAATAATGTTAGAGTTACTAACTAACACAAGTTGATGAAATTGACTCAGAGTTCTAGACACCTGAATATGAATTCCGGGCACCGCTCATCATGGACGACTATTATTTGGAAAACCCTTGAAAACCTGTGAGCACTGAACGGTTGTACCGTCTTAGTGTGAGACCTCTCAACAATAAACCCACAATCCTGTGAGGGATCGACTTCCTCATATATCAGTGAATAAAGAAAATGGAGTGTTTTCCTAGTCTACCGAAGTATATTTGTGACCACTGTATGAACAAACAAGTTCAGTTGATAATTTGAGCTCTGTATCATACGCAATTGATAGTGCTTTCAGCCAAATATCACTGAACAAGAAATTAAAGTAGGTTTATGATAAGTTATAAAAGGCAGCTCGTGAACAAAGTTAGACATACCTTTTAACACAGCCTCGTATATAACACCTGTATAGTAATCTAAACCACGAGCTAGGCTAAGGTCAAAGCTTATCCGATCCTGGATGCCTAGAGCTTCACAATAGTCTAGCAAAAGTCTCATATCTTGCAAAGCAGCCTTAGCAGAAGGTTGATTATTGAGCTGTTCATCCGAATCAAGACGGTCAACTAAATCGATACCTCCATTTAGCTGAACATAAGAACCAATTTTGTTTACAGTCTCACACGACAAACCTTTTTCTTCACATAATTCTCGTCTAACATCTTCCCAGGGGACCTGAAAATTATCGAAAGGTGGATGAAACTTAGTGTACACTGGAATTAAATCGAACTTCAAAAAATATCCACACAAAAACATTATGGTATGCGTAAGTGCTGTAGAGCAAAATAATCAGATGAATAAACCAGTAAATTCAAGCATATACGGTCAAGAATAGATAGTTCCGTGAAACACTAAACTATAATTTCGGTAACCTTTAAAATACACAAGCAAACAGAGTTTTGGTATCAGATGTAAGAAGCTTACCCACAGGAAGTTCCACTTGAACTAGAGTTCATGCTTGGTAGTACTTATCAACAATGTGTATCTGTAATCTCAAGGAAATAGGCAATGCTAAACACATCTCTCAGTGGAACAGTCGATTACAATTTATAAAATCACTGTAATAAAAAATAATGCTTAAAACATAAGAGGAAGAATATTAATGCTATCAGTTGAACAAGTGACTGTTTGATGAATACCAAGCATGACCAGGAAGGATCGTTAGACCATCCGATACCTATTCATAATGTCTACCTAAGCGCCCACCGACCGCAGTTTGCATGATGCAAACGATGAATTCTATGGGGAGCTGTCAATTTCGTTACTTCCAGCACGAAGTTCAGATATAGTCATAATAATAACGCTAACGCTCAAGTAGGAAAACAGAGTCAGTCGGAAAGGCATCTTGGAGGACTCTACGGTATCTCATGCCAACAAACCGAAAACGGTGATCGTTTCTAAAAATTTGTTCCACCAATCACTGGTTCCTAACCAGCACTAAATTCAAGTATAAGGAAAGACACTCTCACTCGGCGTCCACCATCAAACTAAAGATGGACACGGACAGAACAATTTGCTACAAGCCATTGTCGGAGAGGATCGATGGGTGATTGCCACTCTTACTGAAGTACATGTTTGGACTCCGACTATGCGTTAGTACGGCTAAGTGTACGTCTTTACCTTACTGATCGCAAGAAACAGGAGGTAGTAAAGCCTGTGTACTCGATTGGAAGATGAAAACATCAAGGTGGCTAGGCATTTATCCGGACGTGAAAGTAATCCTCATCCTGAGGAAGTCTGGCATGATATTCAGTCTGCTGTAGAAACAGTGGTAAAGAAAGTTGGTAAGCTATATCCAAAGGTTAGCAAACGTCAATGGATTTCCTCAACCTCATCCCAACTGTAATTTCATTTCAGTTGATTTATAAAGTGTATCACACAGTGGAACAGTATCATTTACTGGATAACGTCTTGGACACAATTTTTCGTCCATATTCATATCAAGTAACTCCACAACTTTGAGACACAGTTTATATATTCCTAAGTTTCTCTACTTCTTTGTGATGACAAGGGTAGTAGAGCTTTTAACATATCTGGGGTAGGTACAAAATCGTTTATATTGTATGTATTTGGTGTTGATTTAGTAAACAAAGATTTGGTTATCAACCTCTCCCTCCACCCTAATAGGTCAGCTTTAATGATCGTCACCCTGCTTCATCCAATTATGTTGTGGTGAGTAATTGCATACATGGCCGAACTTTTTTCCAGATTCCTTATCTTACTAGGATCTACCAATTTTGATTAAAACTGGAGGTATGGGGAAGTTATTTATTGCTTTCAGGATGGTATTCATCATGGACTGACGTCGGCTGGAAAAGAGTTGGAAACCTGGAAGCACTGGACAGCTGTTCCATCTTAGTATGGGACTCCTCAGTGGTGCGCAATCATGACCCCACCAAGGATCGAACCCCGGACCTTCAGGTTCTACGGCCAGAACGTTGCTATTGAATCACGTGGTCAGAATCCAGTGGTCTATATTTCCTAGTTTCGTCAGTTCACGATATAGCACGACTTTCATCCGATGCCATTGTTGAGTAACTGTTCTCATATTCGACTGCACTGAATGGAGGTCGAGCTATGCTGTGAACTGATAGAAGTAGGAAATATGGAGCACTGGATCCCGACCCAAAGGCAACGCGCTGGCCGTGGAACCCGAGGGTTCTGGGCTTGATCCCTGGAGGAGTCACAGGTGCACACTGCCGATGAGTCCCATGCTAGGATGATACCGGTGTCCAGTGCTCCCAGTTTTTCAATGTTTCTTCAACTGATGTCATTCTATGATGAAATTCTGATCTGGCTAGGTTTTTGTCTTCGGATAGCCTAACTGACCCTGGTCGACTAATTTGACCTGTGTATTTGAGCTCGCAATCGTTGCAAGGGATTCGGTAAACTAAGTCATTCTGCTTAATTGGATCAACGGGATCCTCTAACCTATAAAGCTTATTTTTAAGTGAGTTTGTAAGTTTAAATGGGACTTTAATCTCAGTCTTATTGAGTATCCTACGCGATGACTATGAGGTGCCTTTCCTGTATGGTAATACTGTAGAGGTTCTGGATTCTCTCTTCACAGTATTATCACTATTATTATTAACAGTATTATTGCTACTACTGAGACCTGTGTTACCAACATATCATATTTTTCTTTCGAATCCTAACGAATTTACGAATTAATTTAGGAAGGTAATTGTTGATGAGCAAGATGTTTTTAGTGTATCCGGTTTCTTGTCTTAGATCCTCTGTTTTACTAGTAAGTTTTTTTATCCTATTACTTAGACATTTTACCGAGTCAACTTTAACTGATATACGGTGAGACGATTTCAAGTCTAAGTAACGACTCCAGTGTGAAGGTTTTCTACAGACACTAGTCTACCACAGTATCTAAGTTTTACACTTATATTATAGACACTAATTTCTGAACTCTCATCTTGCTTTCGTTTTACTCTGCAATCTAACATCACTAATTTACCCCCCCCCCCTTCTCCCCACCATTTTCTAATCCATAGGTGGATTGAACTGCGTTGACTACTGAATTTATGTGTGTAAAGAAATTATGTAAACGAGTCATCTGCATATCGCAACCACATTTTTGGAGCCGGACTGAATTTTTCCACAGCAATCCGTTCTCAACCATCCATAAATATGTCTGCCATGTAGGGGATACTGGTGATGCCATAGGAACTCCAGTTTGATTGTATATTATATTCTGAAACTTGAAGATTATGGAAGTTAGGTATAGCTGTACTCCGAACATGAACTCATCCAGTGGTACCTTATTTCGTTGTGATTGATGCGAGATTTATTCCAGTTGGCTCTTACCACAATGAAGAGTGAAAACAACCTAAACGTACATCGACCAAGAACCTTCGCGTTGATTGCGAACAGTGGTGGGCGGCTAAAGCAAGAGAGATGGAGAACGCATCAGCACTAGGTAATACCTTGTAAACAGTCAGGCTTAATTAACGATACTGGCAAGATGGTTAGTGAAACTACCATCGAAAAGGATGGTACCCTGATAACCTCGCAGTACAGTACAGTACAGACGGTTAGGATGTTGATGGGAACACCGTCAAGCCCAGTTAAACCGATCCACAGCAACGCTTCAGTTGCCCAGTATCCAACCCGAATCCGAATAGGACGTATATATCAGTCCTTCAAATCTCCTTGAAGTTGAGAATGCTGTACTGAACCTGAAATGATGTAAAGCAGCAGGACCTGACAGTTTGCCATACGACGTTTTCAAGGATGGAGATAGGAGATTGCTATTTGAAGTGATAGAGCTGCTAGGCAGTGTATGGGAATCAGAGGTAGTGACGTCAGACTGATCTATATCTCTGATCATCCCAGTCTATAAGAAGGGGGGAAGGTTCCTTTTGACCACCATAGGGAAATTAGTTTAACTAATACTGTGCCCAAGATCCTAGGATCTACAATTATTCGACACCGAATCAGAAGCTTGAGAAAATCAAACAATTTTCAAACCTGGGTGAAAGTGCATCGATCTTAACCGATCGACCGATCTTAACATAGGCATACTTACCAGCGGTCAATACTTCCTACATTCCTTGACCTAATGGTGGCATTTGACTCTGTCAACCGTGAGGTGTGGTGGCAGTATCTGATTGAAAGGAGTACCCAGAAAATACGTAACGCCAATCAAAGCCCACTACTCCAACTCATATAGGTGTGTAAAAGCTTATGGAGACAACCAGTAGTGTTCGCCAGGGATGTCCGCTGCCACTGTTCTTGTTCAACTTCGCTACAAATGTATTAATGGACATTACCTACGGTATCTCAGACTTCACAGGGATTGAACTACTCGCTGAGGGGGGGAGCGGGGCATTCAGTTGATTTGAAGTACGCAGATGATACTTTCCTGCTATGTGCAGTGCATTCCGAACACCTTGAGAAAACATGAGTGTTTGCCATGCGTTTTGCACCTGTCAGATATAAGATGCTTTAGGATTGATCAGAAACTATTTTTAGTTTAAGAATAGGCAATGAAGTGGTGGGATAGGTTGACCGCTTTATTTAAGTGAGTAGTTGTATCAGACCGAACAGGCTGATTGCTGACAAAATATTAGCTCGAATACAAACAGTCCATTTGGTATTTGTCAACTTGCATCATCTCTAGCGTCGATTAGCAAGATATCATCGAACTACCTATTAAAAGACGAGTATACCTATTGCAATCCTTACTGTTATTACATAGGGCTGATAGTCATTGATAGATGTGAAAAATTACAAGTTTTCGATCATGGCTGTCTTCGTACCATCGCTCACGTATGGTGGAATCACCGTGTGAATAACGATATTAAGTGGAGGGTACTACGTAAGACAGACAAGTCGATTGATGAAGCTGTGAACTCACATACATAGGTGGCTTGGATATGTGTTGAGTATGTCCAGCCAATGCCTACCTCCATGTTGGATTAGATCGGGAGGGCTCAAGTTGGACAGAATAAGACGTGGCATCAGTCGATGAAGTTCCTGAATCCTAGCCTTTCCTACGTAGGGAGGTGCAGACTGTCAGGTTAGGGTTCCCGTACCCGTAGGAATCAATGGTTGGGGATACATGGTGACATGACAGAAAACCGGTAAAAATTGCGCAATGTATTCACTGTTTGACGTCCTCCAAAATCGGAATACTTTCACTAACCTTCACTTTTAAACTCCTTTCCCTCCCATACACCGTCTACTTTAACATTGGTCGTTTGTCATCCGCTTGTTCTTCGCATGCTACTGTCTGTCTAACACTGTGTTTAGGATCCTAGGCTCCATATTTATTCTAGGACAACAAACCTCAAGGAACCAAGCAGATTGCAAGCCAAGATGAAGGTGCATTAGTAATATACTTACTCTTTTGTAAACAGCGAAAGAGAAATACGCTTTAAGCACATGAAAAATGTTATATTTCCTAACCTCTATGCAGCATTCGAATGCGTCGATCAAGACGTTTTGTAGTGGTGTATCTGTGCATAAAGTGCTGAACGCATGATAGTAACCTAGTCTTCACCCTGAATAAAACAGCCATTTAAGGTCTTACGCGAAGTTGTCATCTGAGGTGGTGTCAAGTCAAAGGTGTCTACAGTCATCACCCTAGTAAAACCTCGTTATAGGTCTGGTAATAAACTCTCACTACATACGACTTTGCAAGGACTTATTAAGCTATCTGCCGACAACAGAATTGATTTTTACAATGGAGCTTTGTAGCTTAGGATAAAGATGGCATCGAGTTAATGTTCTCTGTAATTATCAAGAGAGATCATCAAAATGTCGACGTAGTCATGTACGAAAAGGATTCTGAAGAAATCCGCGTTTTAATAATGCTTGGATCAATTACCTGGGTATGTTTGATATGTTTTTTCTCTTGTTATTCGCAAGATATTACCACAATAATAATTTGTACTGACATCTAGAGTAGGAAGTGAAGTAGTTGAATATGTGAGCTACTTAACTAATTTTGGAAGTTTTAACGGCGTTAATGGGTCATTTGATAGCAATTTGAGGATGAGCATAAAAGGTTCACTATATAACTAAGAACCTGAATACAATTCAAACCGATACATATGTTATGCATTAGGCTATAAATAACATCTATTAAGAAAGCTTATGATATTACCAGGTTGCCCGAAATAAGGAAGGTAAAAATCAAACGTTTAAGCCAGCGAGTCACATCTTTAACCCACCAACCTAAGTTATTTTTGATGCTGGAAAGATTCGATTAACCAGGAGAGAGCCAGTGTACTGAGCAACAGCCGGCCCTATCCAGCCTTCCCCTTGTGAGACAGCTATATAGCATAGCAAGAGAGATCGAACTGCAGCACAGTATACTCGTCCTTCGATAGACATTCGGATATCTCACCGGTCAGCGCCACAGATGACGCACGTTACAAAGTGTTAAATGGATCTTCTCTATCCGAGCTGAGATTCTATCAGCTGAGACTCGATACACTATAGGGGTTTTAAAGGAAATGACTACTATAATAACTTTAATTCGGAGATTATATAAAGAATGACTTCTCCTAAGTAGTGTTTTAGAATACTAACCAAGTGCATGGAAAAATCTAAAGTGAAATTACGCTTATTTTATACGGAGTTATCGAAGAAATAACAAAATGTGGTACTTTAATAACTAAATCCCGAACTGCTGATTGCTGTAAAGCCAGATAACTTACGAAGTTAGGTAGAAAAACCATGTCATCGAAAGCTGACATGTGCCAATTTTTCTCGAAGAGAATGTATGCTTCCCTAATTCGCTCCTTCGTTAAGAATTTTAATCTGGGTTCCTATCTATGCAAGTATTTTTCTTCAAAGAATGTACTTCTTCAATAAACGGGCTATTAAGTACTCCAGCTGGAGTGGAATGCAAAATTGGAATTAAGACGAGCATACTGATATAAATCAATCGAAAAGGTATATAATTAAAATTAGACCTATCAATAAAGGTATAACACAGTAGCACACAAACAACCGGTGGATAGAAAAAGTATATGCCTGAATTAAATACTCACTTTGTCTAGTTTATCAACTGAAGAGCAGGTTGCTATAAACTTGTCAGAAGGCACATCACAAGCTGCAAATAATCCATCGAGCAGACGCCTGTGGTTGACTTTGATAACAAAATCACCTAAGGCTAGTTCGGACAGGACTTCATATATTATTCGGAGACATTCAACATCCGCTAACATTGGTCCATAATCTCCAGCGATATCAAAATCCTAAAAGATGAAAATAAGTTTTACTTCCCAATCAAACCATCTTCACTGCATAATAATAATAATAAACGGTGAAACTCAGCCACATGTAAATTGATGAGCTACATTATGAGAGCCAGAGGTAGTTCCTGTATGTCAATAACCCGGTTAGGTAGAATAGAGTCAAGACCCGTAACTCATTATGCAAAAGTCAATTGCTTTACCTCACTCGCTACAGTTCCCTATTCTTTAAAACATCTGTAATGAAATAATAAAACCTAGACACCGGCCACTGTGCTACATATGATAAAAGTTGGCGTTAGGTATTTATGAACCGTATCTGCATCCTTTAGTGGCTTTGTTTGTTGGAGAAATATTTGTGCATATTTTAGGAGCAAAACAGCCAGTGTTGATAATTACGTTAAGAAATTTGGTCGAAGTAACTACTACGGACAATCTTCAACTTTCTAGGAACCCACTTCATCAATCCGCTGTTATCTCAATATAAGATCGTACGGTTTTATATCACTCTGAAAACCTCACAGACATAGAATACACCAAGCAGAATGTGATTCATTGTTTTTTTATCAAATATTGCAGGTAGTGGTGTATATGGTATCATTTAGTGAAATGCTACGAAAATTTATCACCAACCACTCCTAGTATTAGCGAACCAGCAATTAAGGATATAAGCTTTCTATCTCATCCAAGAAATCTTAGTAACCTACGAACAAATATGTATACCTTTAACATGAAAATAAACACTCACTAAGAACCCAGTTGTAGGAACTGTTAATTCGTTATCTACGAGACAAGTATCTTGACCAAACGGACATTGGTGGTAAAGGATACCTAAGAACTACTGATTTACTTACGCACTGATAAAATTCCCGATAACGGCCACGGGTCACAGCTGGTTGATCGCGCCGATAAACCTTCCCAATCTGATAACGCTTGATAGACTTGATCTTGTGCATGGCGACATAACGAGCAAACGGGACCTGTTTCATATGATAAATAAGTTCTTCAACATACAGTAAGATCATATCTCAAAGAAAGGGTTTCGCCACCCTGGTCTTGAAGGTCGTATATCAATTTCGATTCTTCTCCATACTTCCCAGTCAGCACTTCCTAGGTACCTAGAATATCGATGAAGCAGAGATTACCTTGAGTTCAAACACAGGAGTATCTATTGTGACTGCATCATGACGCTTGAAACACTGTATTATTGTACTGAATAGACCCTCAAGGATGGTCATTTGTAAAGGGTCACGATCTCTTGTACCCTACTACTAGAAAGATATCACGTAAATTACCTTGGGAACTTTTAGGTTGTATTTTATCTCACACTTTTTGATGGATGACTTGGCCATTTGTTCCGTGATCTTTTGTATCTAACGTAAAAGTATATTTCAAAAGTATGCAAACCTGAAAAATAGATATCTTAACTGCACTGCCAAGATAACCGGTGTTTATGCGCATTACTGTTTGTCTTACCAGAATGAATTGGACTCACTTTTTTCTCCTGATCGGTATCCGAAATACTATCACTCGGCATGCTGCGGTACTCGACAAGGAATGCACTAAATGTGGCGCTAACACAATTGTAGGTCACTTTGACGGTCTGTCATTGATGGAGGCAACCTGCATCGAATCCTACCTTTAAATCTGCATTGCTTTGTGATTACAATATTGAATGAGAATTGAGGGATCCTGGTTGGTCACTGATGAAAGCAAGAAACAGTAGTGGACCTTGAGACACACCACTCAGCATTGGGAACCAATTAGATAAAGAGGAGCCAATCCTAACCAACTGCAACATAGTGTGGAGATAATCTCTAAGCCAAATTAGTCATTTTCCGTGCACACCCATAAGCTGAAGTTTCTTACATAGTATATCATGATTTACCCTGTCAAATGCCTTAGAAAAGTCAAGTAAACCATGGTGAATAGGCTTTTTCTACTCAAGAGAGAGAATCCAGCTATTGTAAGCTATCAACAAGTTGGTGTTACATGACCTCCCAAGTAAAAAACCATGTCGACAGCCGTTTAAGATAGAATTCTTAAATAAGTGATCAAGAAATGATCTTCGCAACTTGAGAGTTCAGAGGGATCAGTGTACAATTAGAGCCAAATAGTCTGTTTCCACCTTTATATGCTTGGACAACAACCACACTTTTCCAATCAGAAGGCAACCTGCATTCCTGGGGTGAACATCAGGAGGGGCTCGATAGCGAGGCACTCAGAACGCCCGCACACGCCCTGAGTACTCCCGGGTGAGTCCCATCAAGGTGGGGGAGGGAGGGAATCCCAGCCATTCATGTTTGCCATCAATGGCCAGAAATCTACTTAAAAAGAAATGTGGAAGCAATACAGAAATGCAACTTTCGAGGTAATTTTTCTGTAACCCCGAAATTTCTACGCATTTGGTGCATGAATCAAGCATGCATATTATAATGCAGCTCCCACAGTCAACATTCTCGTGGGTTCAGCGAAAGGTTATGAGGAAAAATTGCATTGAAAACTCAAAGCAAAACGAGGGGCTTTGCGGTGTTTCCCCTAATTTTCCTTCGTGTTCTGTTCGCTTCGTGCTTTTTCCATTCACTCGGTCTTGATTTTTTTATTCCCAGAATCCAGCGGCAGTAGTGTGAGCACAGGAAATGCAGTTTTTATCTTTCGAGTCTGGTTCTTGAATCTTGTTGTTCGGCTAGCTCTCGTAGCGGGCGAAGAAATATCCTCTGCCTTCATGCTTTTATCTCCGGTAGCATGATTGCCATTTTTTGGGTTGGAATTTAAAACTTTTATGTTCAATTGGTAAGGTATCTGCAGGTTGCCAGGAAAACTGGGGGCCTTTCGTGACTCCGTCCTGCACATATACCTGAAAAGAAATAGCAGAATGGCGGAAAAGGTATGTGAGGGGTCACCGGAGGTGGATAGCGTGAGCCTAGTAACTAAAAAAGTGGCGGAAGATGGTGCAAACGTGTCGAAAGTAAAAAGATGGCATATGGTGTCAGGAGAGAGTAGTTGCAGGTTGGTGAGATGAGTAATGTTCTGAGTCTATAGGTGGCAACCCACGTGAGCTAACGTGGTTGTCTAACCTTGTAGCGGCATATAATTCCCCGAACTCGATAACTAAGGGTTCGAAGAGGCTGGCCATTGATGCTGGCCCTCATAATTCTATCAGACTCGCTAGGCTGGAGGCACATGGTCGGCTATCCAGGCCGTTTGGGGCGTTGTCATCCTAAGTTGCACATGGTCTTTTCCGAGAATTGTTTCTCTCAAAACTACCGCAGTCGATGCGAATCTTGTTGGTGACACCTTAGCCGGCTGCAATCGATGACTTGGGAACCTCAGCACATGAAATATAGGAGGCCCCTAACAGACTCACCTCCGAAAAATATTCGGTTTACGAAAAACCTGACAGCCAGGGTTGAGAAGTGGCAGAAACACATAACTCTGCTAACCAGCTTCTACGAACCCGAATGACCAGGTCACGTGGTGCAGCACAGCGACGTGTTTCTGACAGTCACAGGAACTCGCATGGTTATCCAGCAACTAAATCTTGCAGGTTGGAAAACCTTAAATGGTGTTGATTTAACAACACCGATGGCGATGAAGCCAGAAATTGTAGTGAAACATGCACTTTCAAAAAGATACAATCTCGTGAAACTGTCCCGCCTGTATGCGTTAACAGCAGTCGTAGCCGGTGGAAAATGGTGTTTGTTGTGTGTCACCGATGTAAATAGGAAGGTTCGCTACCTTGTTGACACTAGCTCGGAAGTTAGCACTCTTCTTGCAACGAAGAATGGAGGTCATCATGACCCATCCTTCAATCTCCAGGCAGCTAACCCAAAGCAATTGCAACCTTTGGTATGCCTATCTCAGCTCGGGTTTGCATGAACCTGTTGACTCAATTTTCCTTCCAGTCGATGTTGCCATGCCCGTCAGTGACACGGATTTACCCAACCATTTTTTATTTACTTGTGTTTGCTCGTCGGCTACAACTGACAGGTAACAACACGGAGCTATCCATTAGTGCCATCACCTCCGTAGGTCCGAGTTTAACCATGGTTACAACTAAACACGATCGACATATCCCGTCAGACTGCCTTGGAGAAATACCCAGAGTTACAACAACCGAAGCATACTCTGTCATGCACAACCAGGAATATTATGTATTGCGCCACAACCATAGGTTCACCTGTGACATCCTAAACATGCCGTCTATCACCTGAAAAACTACGAACGGCGAGAGGCGAATTTGATCACACGCTCGAACTGGGCACCATCAAACCGCCACATATTCCTCGGGCACCGCCATTGCATATGGTTTTCAAATAAATAGCAACCACTGGCGTTCATTTGGTGATTACCGACGGCTCGACGCCAAAACAACACCAGACTGCCGCCGGATGCTTCGCGTCCACGACCTGACCGAGACTTCGTGCTCAATAAACGTATCCTACAAGATCGTTCTAGTCAGAGCGTACGATCATATACCTTTGTCAGTAGATCTCACGAAAATATCCATCGTTACCCCTCTTGAACTGTTTGAATTCCTGAGCGTACCTTTTCGTCTTCGTGACGCAGCACACATTTTCTAACGCCTAGTAGGTGATATCTTGCGTAGTTTAGATTTCGTCTATGTCCGGATGAGGAAGCCTGCCACAAATGTTTGGAAGCCGCATTCAGCAGATTGAGAAGGCTTGGGTATCACAGCCAACGTACAGAAGTGCGAAGTAGGGGTCGAATAGCTTGGCTTCTCTGGGTATACCATTATCAGCAAAAGTATTCTCACGCTGGCAGATAAACTGGCAGGTATCATAAACTATTCAGGGCTGACCACTGTAAAGCGGCTTCACACTTCCAGCGAGCCCGCAAATTATTAACTAAGGTTTATCCCATCTCTGTCCCCGTCACAAGGCTCCTCACAGATCCGCTTTTAGAGACTTTCAAGTGCATGACTTTGAATAACATGGCCGGACTTGGTTTCTTCAAGGTGAAGGAAGCCGTGTCGAGTGCAACCATGCTTATACATCACAACTCTGATGCTCCTTTGAGTATTGCTGTTGATGCAACTGACTCAGTCATCGGAGCAGTTTTAAAACAGTGGTGGCCTTAAGCCTTTTTCCTGAGGTGTCTACAGGGGGGAAACGAGGTACGGTACATTCGGTAGGGAACTCTTAGCTATATACTGTTCTGTAAGCCGTTTTCGACATTCGGTCGCAGGTCATAACTTCATCAGACCACACACCTCGCAGACCACAAGCCGCTGACTTTCGCTCTTTGCTCAGCGTCTGACAAATACTCTCCACGTGAGTTACGACAGCTGGATTACATTTATCACCTCACGTCAGATATCTGCCACACATCTGGAGCAAATAGATCCGCGGCCGATGCACCATCTCGAATGGCCTCGATGAACCGTATCGACAGTATTGACCTTGTTGAACCAGCTCAGTGTCAAAAAGAAAACCTTGAGCTGCATCAAGGGCTGTTTCCCATGACTCTCAAGCTACGACTGTGTCCAGCAGGGTCGGGCAAGGATTCGATTCCACGCGATGTTTCCGCTAGTCGGCCACGCCCATTAATTTCGAAGAGATTTCAAAGCAGCGTCTCAAATGTGTCACATAGGCTGCAACATCTAGGTGTATAAGCCGTCACCAGGCTTACTGTACGACGTTTCTGAGGGCCTGGAATGAACAAAGACGTCAAAGGTTAGGCTTAATCATGCGTAGCCTGCCAAAAGTGCAGGGCTGAAAAACACGTGGTAGACCTTCAGGTTCTTTTATATCCTCAGACATGCGTTTCGACCACGTCCATATAGATCTTATAGGACCCCTGCCAGAATTTAATGGATGCACTTAACTTTTCACCTGCGTGGATCATTTTACGAGATGACGAGGAGCAGCAACCACAAGAAATACTGTTGGTGAAACTGTTGCCAACGTTTTCTTCGAAAGATGGACCGCAAACTTCGGATGTCCATCCCGCTTAACAAGTGGCTGTGGAGGCCAGTTCAAGTGTGAATTATTTCTCGCTTTGGCCGCAATTTTAGGTTGCAGTCGGTTCCGAACGACAGTCCACCATCCACGGGTAAATGGTGTGGTAAAAAGTTTCCGTCGACATCTGGAAACTTTCCTTCCAGCTGCAAACACGCAGTGGTGAACCGGAGCTCTGCCTCTAGTTCTACTGGATATCCGGAAGGCGTTAAAAATTGATACTGGGTGCCTTTCTGTGGAACTCGTCTACGGGACTACTCTTCGCGTACCAAGTGAGTTGACCCCCTTCAACTCTTACAAATGTTTATGATAGGACGTCTTACGTGACTAAGCTTATAGATGCAGTGCGTTCAGTGAAATCTTCTGCTGTTCGACTGAAAATGTACGACGTCTTCCTCCAACTTATTTTGCAAAAGATGTCACAAGTTTTCGCGCACCCGATGCCGTTCGTCGGCCACACGAGTCACCTTACAACGGGTTATCCCGGGTGATTAAGCGGCACAAAAAATTCCGCATGATGGAGCAAAACGGACGCAAAAATACTGCTGGTATAGACTGCTTCAAACCAACTTACCCCGAAGGCGATTACACCATAATTGACGTCTCTACTTACAATAGCCGACAGACAGACTGCCTGGTAGTGAAAATTCTTGGCCGCGTCTAGTGATACACAAGCGTAACAATCGTTTGCACGGCAAGACACATTATCAGGCCAAATCGTCAGGTTTCCGTATTCTCTAGAGGCGAACTCAACGGAGCAGTGTGGGTAAAAAC